TTTTTTTAATTTCTTCAATACACGGAAAGAATAAGATTATACTGGATATAATCCCAGGTTATACGGAGTGAAAAAAAAATTTCAGATAGTAGCTAGTATAATCCAGATAACAATGAGTATAATCCAGGTTACAATGAGTATAATCACGGAAAAGAAAATGCGGTAAATCCAACTACACTTGGAGTAGCATTTACCACAGGATGGACTAAAGTATATATACGCTATAGTGTGTTTACGGATGATTTTCATGTGTTTCTGTGACAACTCCAAGTGATGTTGGATTTACCGCACGTTTTTTTCCGTGATCCAGATATTATTCAGTATAATCTGGATTATACTAGCTACCATCTGAAATTTTTTTTTCACCTTAGATGTCATTGAGTATAATCTGAGATGGTATCCAGTGTCATCTTGTTCTTTCCGTGTAGACACCATAAAAATTATATTAAATTCGCGGAGATGAGTTTGATTCTCGGTGTCGTAAGTTTGAAGAAATAAAAAAATACAACCAGTATAAAGACTATTTCAACAGTTTTTCATCCAGATGAATATATAATCTTGCCTTAAATAAATTGCAAGTATCAAAAAATGAATTATTAAATTAAAAACTGAAGAAAAATGAATATAATGGTTTTATAAAAAATATTTATACAGATAAATCACAAAGCATCGCGATTGTGATTAAATATCAAATGTTATTTTTTAAATTAAAATATTTACGGCATATTTAGCTTTCCAAGCATAACAAGTACCGTTTTGTTGTAGTTTACTATTATATATAGTCAAGTACAGTATGATAAAGTAGTAGTAGTATTAATATCGCGTTTAATGTGGTTTTTCTTACTATACATCAATGCTTAACACAGTATTATATAGTATGTATAATATATAATACAATATAATACCGGTACGTTATAATCGACGACCTCGAGCTTTGTATTGTACACTTAAACTCTAGTGTATAACCAATGGTACGCGGTCACGATTATCGCTCTGCGATTCACCTTACATTGCTAAACTCACCACTACACACAACAAGTATTATATGTAATGTTTCGATGTATGTAATGTACTCACAACCCGTGCAAATTCTAAAAATAGTAAAGTTATTTCTACAAAGCTAATTCCTAACTTTTAGCATACTAATTTGTGATATCAATATTAATATCTCATTTCATGCTTGAAAATAAGTAAACAATTTTTATATTTATTTATTGCTGTTAATAACGGAAATTATTAATAATAATCAGAACCGTGATATTGATAATGATAATTACAATAATTATTATGATTTAATATTTAATAAAATCGATGAAAATAGTGGCGCCATAATTATCGCGGTGAGCACCAAGCAAAGTGTCGAGCACCGAGTGGTTTTAGTATGGCGGCTCAAGTATTATATTGTTATCGCAAATACTGCAAACAGCCCTTGCGTAACGATTTGTATTATGATCACACGATTTATTGCATAATAACCGCCGTATATGTGTCCCTTATTACGTTATATTTTCCAACGCAAATATATTTATAAAACGAGACCGATTTTACTCTAATATTAATTTCAGATAATTTTTTATCAGTAGTAATTAAAATTTTAAAGGCTTAATTTTTTTCAATACTAAGTATAATGCTGAGATAAAGCTTCAATGAAAAAATCAAGTAAATCGGTCAATTATTTTGGGAGTTACGTAGCTTTTTTACTTCGTACAGACCTCTGTACGGATGTACGGAGTAGGTTTTTTGGGTCAACGAGTTACTAATTTGATATAATCCTTGCTCAATTTTGTTATTTAGGGTGCTGTCTTTCTACCTAGTAATTTTCGTTAAAATCTATATTGATAACTTTTAAAAAAATTCAGGGATAAAAATAATTAAAATAGTATTTCTGAACATATGTGGGAGTTGTTTATAAAAAGTTATAATTTTATTACAGAATATAAATATAAAAATGTTGGTTGGGTTTAGTGACGGATTTCTCGGAAAAAATTTTCTTTATAGACCAAAAATAAAATTTAACGACGAACAAAAACTAATATAAAGAAAAAATATGTTAAACTAGTTAAAAGGCACGCTCTCCAGATTCTGGTTGTATATTATATGTACTGGAGCAGATGTTATTTCCGTTCCGTATATAACGTAGCTTACTTAAATATATATTTATATTTATACTATACGTGTAGTAAAGCACAGAGATATAGATGAAATGAAATGAAATCGAGTGACGGTAGATGGTGGATAGGAGGGATAGACCTCGTGTGCAACACGTGTTGTGACCAGGAATTCAAGTTGTATTTTGGTCGCGCGCTGCGTCAGAGTTTTAAAAGTCTACTGATATGACTATGATGAACCGCGGGCTTTCAATTAGTGATCGTTATTTCATATTTAATATAATATTATGATAAATATTCTGAAAAGATATACCATATAAGTTGATCGAGTGTAGTTGTATATATATATATATATATATATATATATATATATATATATATTCGATTAACGAGCCTTTACTTGTTGAAAAGCGGCGTATACGTCGTTTCAAAGTTTTAACTGTAGTGTTGTGACGAGGTGAGGGTGGGGGTAGCTAGCGCGCGACCGCTAATTTTAGAATTACATACAAAGTCACGCCGGGTGCCACGAGCCGTTTTTACGACTATAATACTACCTAAGAGTTGTGAGTTGTTGGTTTATTGTACGTCTAAACCAGGGTAATCATTTTTTTTTATTAACTTTTTTTTAATTATAATTTTTAATTGAAGAAAAAAATTAATTAACTGATAACAAATTCAATATATGACTCATGAAGATAAATTTACGTTAAAAAATCATTAAAAATTGAGGACAGACCTTGAACCATTTAATAATCAAAAATGAAGAAAAAAAAACATTGTTTGTGCATTTTTTTGTTATCTCAATCATAAGTCAATCGATAGAGTTATGTTTATCGAGTGGAAGAAGTAGGTGTTTTTTGTTAAACAGTAATTGTTAAAGTCTGGAGAATTAAAGTTAAAGGGTGCGTGAACGGTCGGTAGTTGACGAAATATTGACATCCGAGAATAGAATAGTATTATATCGGTGTAGTAGATATTAAGGTATAGCGGATAGGAGAGTGGTGATGGTGAGAGTACGGCGACAAGGAGGCGGTGAGAGCACAAATAGGGTGAAGGCGCGGGGGCAAGCGGACAAAAAATACCCCTACCCCGAGAGGGGTTGTATATTATACTGCTGATGGAAGAACAGTAGTTGTATATTGTTCAGACTAAAGAGAAGAGTTTCAAGCTGAAGCATTGAATTTAAGGGGAAGCTATACTGGATGACGTCAACTTGAAAAACCTCTCCCTTTTAGACACTAATATATGTATAGATATATATTTCCCTGTCTAACGAAAACCAATATCGACACAAGCCACAATGACTAACAATCCTTTGTCTTCTGGATATTCATATTAGACTATTTCAATTTAAATTTTTTATAAGTATAAATAAAAAATTTGGTAAAAATTTTTTGGAGTCCTACAGAACATTGTTGGAAATATAGTTAAAAAAAAACCAAGTCAATTGTTTGATTATTTTGGGAGTTACAGAGCTTTTTTATTCCGTACAGAACAATGTACGAATGTACGGATTGAATTATTTTCGTTTACTAGTCACCAAATTAGTTTAAAAATCAATGAAATTTGTTCCTTAGGTTTCCCTTTGTAGACTCTCACTTTTGACAACTATCGAACCAGAGAAAAATATATCCTTATAGAAAAAATATTTTACAAGCACTCAAAGAGAAATTTAGTAAGTTCTTTGTAGACGAAAAAAAAATGTATTTTTTTATTCTCCAGTTCTTTAAACTTTGGGGGAACGTAAATAAAAAAGCGTATGTGTACAAGGCGGTTGCGCGAGCGTACGACGCAGTGTGACAGTGGTATGGGGTGTGTATGTTATATATTGTATGTTGTGTGTTATATGTATATGGTGTTGTATAGAGTGAGATTCTGGGAGAGGGTGAGAGGAAGATAAAAAGGAGAACGTAGTCCTGCGCACAACTACAAACACACTGCGGCTACACTACGCGACTGACGACGGGCGGTAAGCATGTATTATATGTATATAACCCTGGTGTGTGAATACCGAGCACGTGCATTTCCCACAGAAAACCAATGGGGCCTTTCTGCTGTTATGCTCTACTCAGTCTTCCACTGTACACTCTTTAGTATACATATAATATGTATAAATATATATATATATTTATACGGTATAGGAAGAGAACGCGCGCGCGACCAGCTGGGAATTGATGGTGGGTTCTTTCGTTCATTCGTCCGTTCGTTTACATTTAGTTGTCCATAGCCTATACATCCATATCTTACTATGTAAAAAAAAGAGATGAAAAAAATAAAAAAATTCGAGTAAACGATAGGGAAAACGTTCCATCCGCCCTAAAACGCAGAGAGAGAGAGAGAGAGAGAGAGAGAGAGAGAGAGAGAGAGAGAGAGAGAGAGAGAGAGAGAGAGAGAGAGAGAGAATAATGCTGTCCTTTTGAAGTGCACAATATCGTTTAAAGACGTCGTGTTTTTTAAATTGTTTAGAATTTGAATAATCGAGAGATGAATACATTTTTTTGATTATCGTTTTCAGGAATTCGGTTTCATGCTATAAATTATAAGGACAATTTTTTCAAATTTCGAAAAATTTCATTTGAATCCTTAGTTTATTTGATTAAGAGAAATATAAATGATTTTAGAGAGAGAGAGAAAGAGAAGGGTAGATTTTTTTGTATAGCCGGATATCGACAATCTATTCTTTGGAAGTTTTTCTGAGAAAATTGGAGAGATGATAGAATTTTGATGGCGTGTGTATGTGTGTATGGATTGGAGGAAAGAAAAAACATAATTAATGTAGCACTAATTGTTACAGATCAAACGTCAGAGGTGAGCGCGATCATCATCAGGTGAAAATCGCGCTGGAACCATCCCCTGAGTGGGGGTGGTGGTTGAGGGGTTAGTGCCGGGGCGATGGTGGCAGCTGCCACAGCTACGGCCATCGCCACTGCCTGCGTGGTGGCCATGCAGGACCGCCAGGACATACCTTCCCAATTCAATCAAGTAAGTATCTTTCTTCCCTTTTCGATGGTGTTGAATCGAAGGATTAGTTATAAGTACGTATGATTAATTTGGATCTTTGAATTTTAGGGCCAGCATGGAATGCCTCATCAATCGTACAATACCGGGTACGGCCAACGCGGAGGACCGATGGGAGGAATGGGACCTACGATAAACAGCTACAACGGAATGAGCTCGATGGTACCTGTTCAACCAATGAATTCTATGAATTCGATGAATACTATGAACGCGATGAATGGAGGTATGAACCCGATGTCAATGAACGGGATGAATGGGATGAACGGAATGAGTCCAATGAGTCCGATGAACGGCATGGGGACCGTCAACAACAACATGGCGGGCATGAACTCGATGATGCCTAATGCCATGCAGATCAATAAAATGAACATGCAGCAAGCCCAAGCTCAGCAAACGGGATACCCTCGAAGATTAGCCCCCTACCCCAACCCCCAAATGCACATGGTCCAGAAGAGACAGCAGCAAGTTGGATACGCAAATGTCCCTCCGAATCCTATGCAGCAACAGCAGCCAGGATTCAACACGATGCCAAACAACATCCAGCCGAATCAATACCCCCCAACAAACTATCCGTCAACCCGACCGCCACAAAACTTCCATCCGCAGTATCAGCCAATCCAGGGCATGGGAAATCCCAACGGAGGATTCCCACCCAACCCCATGATACGCGGATCCAATATGAGACAGCAAACGCCCAACTACAACCCGGTAGTATCCCAATCAAGCAATCAGTATTACGGTAGTAACTCGCCAAGTGGAGTTGTAGGCCACCCGTCTCCTGTGGTAAACATGGGCAATGGAATGCCCAGCCACCAACAGCCCCATCAACAGCAGTTCATCCACCAGCAACAGCAACAACCGAATCCCACCGGCTACGTCAATACCTCCTATCCCACGAACGGCCAGTACACGTCTGACGTATCGATAAGAGCGTCTGGTGCCGGGAACATGAACTACCAGCACAGTCCCATTCCTGGTAATCCCACTCCTCCCTTAACCCCAGCTTCAAACATGGCGCCCTACATAAGCCCGAATTCCGCAGACATTAAGCCGAACTTCAACGAGCTCAAGTCGACGGTCATGTCCCAAAAGGACGAAGAACTGAGACTAACATTCCCCGTGAGGGACGGCATCATCCTGCCACCTTTCCGTCTCCAGCACAACCTGGCGGTCAGTAACCACGTGTTCCATCTAAAATCGACGGTGCATCAGACCCTGATGTGGCGATCGGATCTCGAGCTGCAGCTAAAATGCTTCCACCACGAGGACCGACTGATGAACACCAATTGGCCGGCTAGTGTTCAAGTGTCGGTTAACGCAACGCCATTGGTTATCGACCGGGGGGAAAACAAGAGCTCGCACAAACCTCTTTACCTCAAAGATGTCTGCCAGGCGGCTAGGAATACTATTCAGATAACCGTGTCAGCTTGTTGCTGTGTAAGTATAATCGATAATATAGAAGACTATTAATAATTGAAGAATAAATAAATTTTGATAATGATTCGATAATTGATCGGTATTTTTTTTTCCAGTCGCATCTGTTTGTCCTGCAATTAGTTCATCGGCCAAGCGTAAGAAGCGTGTTGCACGGTTTGCTGCGCAAGCGACTACTGACCGCGGATCACTGTGTGGCTAAAATCAAACGGAACTTCAATAATACCATGTCGAATAACGGGATGCAGTCCGAGAAAGATGTGGTTGAACAAACTGCTCTTAAGGTATGAATACATATTCATTATTTTTCACCTGTAACATAGAATTAAAAATAAACCATTTATTTTTTATTATTTATAGGTATCGTTAAAATGCCCGATAACGTTCAAGCGAATTACGTTACCGGCGCGAGGGCATGAGTGCAAGCATATACAATGTTTCGACCTCGAATCGTATTTACAACTTAATTGTGAACGTGGTGCTTGGAGATGTCCTGTTTGCACGTAAGTATCCGTCAATATCATCAGTATCAATAGAACATAAACTGATTAGGATTTTCACAATGTGTAATTGCCATTAATAACATCAATATTTTTTGTCATTTAACAGGAAACCAGCGCCACTAGAAGGCTTAGAAGTAGATCAATACATGTGGAGTATTCTAAACACAACGTCAAGTACTACAGTAGACTTAGAAGAGGTGACGATAGACGCAGCCGCTAAATGGAAGCCTTCGAAGCCAACCAACATGGTTACGATAAAAACCGAGGAAGACTTGGACTGCAAGCGGATGATCAAGGCGATGTCACCGGGTAGCATGAACATGCCGACGATGATGAATTACGAGATGAATCAGGCGATGAGTCCGTACATCCCTCCCGACATGAACAGCATCGTTAGCGGCTCCATGATGAATAACACGCCACCTACTTACGTCAATAATAACATCAACCACAGGAACTCATCTGGCGGGTCTTACGACATCAACTCTGGTACGCCTAACAGCAACAACGACTACTCCAATGGCGCTGGTCCGTTGACTCATCTTAATGATTCCGTTAATTCGCTAGATCAGCTCAATGCCATGGAGAAATCTTTGACCGATCAGGTTAGTAACAAATTATAATGATTACAGTGTAACCTCAGTATAACGAGCCTCAATATAACGAATTTTTCAAAATCCCCCAGAACTGCTCATAATAATCTATGTAAAATATACCTTTTTGTTACACTCGCTCCAAAAGTTCAGCTTTTGAGCGCTGGGTGGCGTCCGAAAAGATACTCATTTCTGGAGACTCTACCATACCGCCTTTTTTCCGCGGCCTAGGCTGCAAAGTTTACATCCCCCGTTTTTTTCGTACTGACCTTGTGCAATCAGATGAAATTTAGAACGAAATAAATCAAATTCTAGTGTACCGACCGATGGATTTTGAGTAAATTTTAAACTTAGTTACTATTGAGTGGTGCTAATTATTTCTCTGCTGGCAGTTTATTACGAAGCGGACCTAATGTTAATAAAATATCAACCATGCCATAAATAAATATTAATAAAAAGATAATTAATATAAAACTAAGTTTTTTTGCCCTTGTGAAATTTCATAAAATTTGAATATGTCATTATTTGCCTCCTATCCCTCAAAAGTTAAACTTATGAAGTGGTGATTTTGACAACGACGATTTTACGATATTCGTTTTAAAGTTAGTGACGCGAATGTATGAAAACGAACGTATATTTCCGCTAAAATTACGCCCGTTTTCGTACATTCCCGCCATATGAACCTTAAGCTCATATCGCAATATCGTCGTTGTCAGAAAATCATCACTTAGCGACCATATGACATAAATTACTATTATATTTTTCAAACAACCTCAATATAACGAGAATTCAATTATGACTTTTTTCGAGTAAAGAATCAAAAAATGAAGAATGAGCTAATATCATTATTTTTTAATCAAGTTATTAATTTCCTACGCTTACATTCTATGTTTATATTCTATGCTTATGCATTGATAATGATTTCTATTTTGATTTTCAACTGATTTAAATGTTTTCAAATAATAAATTCTGTGTTTTGATTTAAATGAGTTATTTCCCAATGAACAAAGTTTTTGTATAATCATATATAATCATGCATATTGATCTATATATGACTGGATCAAAAAATTGGCCAGGTCTAATTATATATAATAATCATATATAATTATATATAGCAATATTTAATGATATATTATTACTTCTAATTAATTATTTATACATACCACCCATCCAACTATTAACCTCACTCAATACTGCTTAACTTTGGTGATTAGTGATTGGTTTATTAGTGGAAATTTTCTTACCTTGTTATAACGAATCGAGTTTAATCTAACAAACCTGACTGTTACGAATAACTCGATATAACGAATAATTTCTATTTTCCTTGAGTTTTTTTATATCAAGGTTGCACTGTATTTGGAATTTTGTAGAGACTGATGAGTGATGACTTATCATTGAATATTGAATTTTTTCACAGATGCCGCATACACCTCATACGCCCCACACACCGCACACTCCTCACACGCCAGGTGGTGGTAACAGTGGGCCACCCAGTGTACCCCCAGCTTCACAAGAATCAACGGGTAACCTCAACACGTCGGGTAACAGCACGACGAATATCAATGACAGCACGGATATACCATCGGATTTGAATTTCGACCCCGCAGCTGTCATCGATGGTGAGGGAACTGGTCAAGAAGCATTGAATGTAAGTATGGAGTATCACAACATTGTAAATTGATCAATATGATAGAAAATTTTGGAAACTTTTTATTATTTAGGTATTCATTAGTTAATTATTTTTTGGTACTTACAGTTGTTGCCAGACAATGTAGTAGACCCAATGGAATTACTATCGTATCTGGATCCACCGGATCTCAATACACCGCCGAGCAGCGGTGCAAGTAGTGGAAATCCATCCTCGAGCGACGACATTCTTGCCCTCTTTGAGTAAAGTGCCGATAATCGAAAGGTTATAACTAAACGGATATGTATTAATTAGATATCCATCGACGGGGATTACGATAGAGTCTACGTCATCTCGAAGGTGCTGACACCTTAAAAACAATGGTACAAACAAATTTAGCTACTGACATAGGGCATAGTGTTTAAATTGATAGACAATGGTTGTATGAAACATGTAATCATTGAAATCGGATACATAGCGAGACAGTTATGTTCTGTTAGAGCTAGTGCTTCTGTATAAAATTTTATCCTTAAAGGACCATTCAAACTGGATTTGCGATTTATACTTTTATGATAAGCGAGGTTAGGTTCGGTCGATTTTTAGTTGGAAATTTTCTGTGGGTTTATTTGAGATTTTTATCAAAAAGAACGAAATATTTGGTTCGTGTGCTTTGTACGAAAATAAAAATGAAAATAAAGTTAGCCGACATTTCAAAATTTTTAGAAATTTTTTATTGAAAAAATTTCAATTAAACAATTAAAAAAAAAAATTTCACATGTAAAAAACTTGATAAACTATAAGTGCAATTTTTTACAAATATTTTTTTAGTTGTAATTTAATTAATAAAAAAAGTCAAAAATTTTTAGACGTCTGCTAACTTCAGTGGCATAAATAAAAACTAAAAAAAAACGTCAGATGACGCTGAGTGACTTTTCGCTTTTTGTCACCGACCATCTTGTTGAGGACGGCTTTGACGCGCTAAACCACAGAAAAATTCAGTAATGCCTAATCGACACCCGAAATGATTCGACTGATCGTAAATCTGGAGTTTAAATAAATCTAATGAATATTGTTAATAAAATAAGTATATTTCGGTCTTAAATAACGGTCTAATGACCTCTGTACAGTACATTATAATAATTATTATTTAAATTAATTGATAAAATAATTGGTATTTTATTTTTTTTAAGTGTAAATAAGTAATAATTATTGTTTAGGATTAAATAATAAATTTTAAAAAGGCTTTGGATAGAACGCACAGAGTGTAGAATAATTTTTAAACAACACAAGGTTATTTGTTGATTAATAAACAAATTATTATTGATTATCATAATTGATTGATTATTGATTAAAACAGGGGGTTGGGGATATAAATGCCAAATTTGCCATTTCTTTTTTGTTTTTAAGTATTTAAAAGAGAACAAATTTTTTTTTCTAAATAAAGAGTATTTTTTAAAATAATAATTACTAGTTTTTTTTCCTGACAAATGTCGCCGAATATAAATAATAATAATAATAATAATAATAATAATAACATTTTTCTATTTCGTTTCTGTAAAAGCAGCTGTGGAGTTATTGACATTTTTCCTTATTTGAGGTTGGATTTTACATATTTTTTCATTGTTTCACGAGAAGATATTTGTTTTTCTCTATATAAATCTTCCAATAAAAAAAAATAAAAGCAATTATTATTAATTCGTAATTTGAATTTGAAAATTTACACTTAAAATTAAGAGATTTATTTATTAAAAAAAAACTCTTTGTTTTGAAACTAAAAGTATGTAAAATCTTGAGAACCTCAAAAAAAAAAAAAAAAAAAAAATTAGCGAATCCTATGGGCATAAAAAAAGAAAGATAAATAAAAAGAGTGCCTATTGAGACTGCCAGATAAATAAAATAAAAAGAAGGACAAAAATTGGATGAAAAAGCCCAAATTTTGACATTAACTGCTTTTACGTTGGTATTTCTTTGTGATTGATAACAGATGTAATAAGTGTAATAGTTATTGAGTAAACAGAAGAGAAATACTTAAAGTGATTCATGTAGACTATAAAAAATTTTATAAATATAAATATATAATAAAAAACAAAATATGTATTTATATTAGTGCGTTTATTGAATTAAGACGCACAATACAGTAGAAGGGATCTTTCTATTTAAAAGATATATTATTTACTTATATTATTATATGAAGAGAATAAATTGCGATTAAATTTTATTATATATATTAATATTACTTATTACATAATTAAATAAATGGATAATGTATATGATAAGGCGAATTATTGTATGATATTTGTACATATTGATTAAAAAATGAAAAATACAAAAAAAAATGATGAATAAATGGTTAATTAATAAGGAGTTTAGAAGAATAGATTAATAACATAAGACAAAAAGTGGCGGATACTTATTGGCCAGTTATAAACAGTAATATTAATTAATTATAATAATAAATAAATAAAACAATAATAATAATGAATTTACTGTTTATCTTTATTACTTCTTACCAATTTTAACTTTTTTTATACTAAGATTTCAATTTTAGTTATAACAAAACTTTATTCGTGAATTTTTTTCTTTCTAAAATAATTAAGTGATTATTGTCGGATTTTTCAGGTCATTCTTAAATTAAACTCAATGAAAAAATTATATTTTTTATAGTTTTTTCTGTGCTTGTTTTTATGAACGAAGAATATGTGATATAAAAGCTTAAGAATGTCTTGCGGCTAATTTTAGTTCACAGCGTCTAATGATGAGATAGAGTCATCTCTCGGAAATAATTTAAAGCTCTAAGAAGTAAAATTTCATTGCAAAATCATAAAATTTACTGTTTAGTACTGTCTATTAATTGAAATTCAACGAAGAAAAATAATAGTACGTACCCCGATAGCCACGCTTTAATTAATAGTAATTAGATTTCAGCAGTTACAGTTAACTTGACATCAAGTTTGCCGTAAATTTTTACAGTACAACAGTTGTAAACAAATTGACTAAAATCAGCCCCAATTTACCGTAACCAATTTGGCGCCGAATATTAATTTTTTTTCAAAAACTAAATGACAAAAAATTGCTCATGAATTGCTCTTCCGATATAAACAATTGCTCCGCCGCTATAATTAATAATTAATTAATTAATCGTAATTAAAAAATCAAAATTTAATTCCCGATTATCTCTAATTGTGAGGACTAATGTTAATTGTAATAAGTGCCAAAAAATTGCTCATCCTTTTTTCTATTGGGAATGATAATTATTTTGTGCGTAAAATCGTTTTTAATTAATTAATACTATAAATAATTATATGGCACCTTTAAACCTGCAAATGACAATTGTAACGTCATCGTCGCGACAATTTGAAAGTATATACAGTAAATTTTCTTTTATGAAATATCTTATACTAATAAAGAAAGTCAGTTTTGTTTGTCCTATTTAATATTGACTCGGAAAAGGTCCGCATATTAAAAAAATATTAGTAACTAATTTTACAAATTGCTAATTAAATAATTAACTTTTTTAGGATTATTTGTGTATGAATTCAAAAAAAATAATTTTATCTATACAGGTCAATTCTTTATTTTTATTTCATTTCACCATAATTTAGTTTTTAAAATATTTAAAATATAATAGATATTATCAAATTTAGGGGTTATGTCCACTTGTAAGTTCGAAAAAATGTGTTTTTTTGTTTATTTTTTCTGGAGAGGCTTTTAATTAAATACTAAGTATTAAATATTTTTTGAGAGGCTTTTAATTAAATATTAAGTATATATGTACATAAAATATATATATTCCTCACCGACTTTGAAAACATCGTTTCGAGAAAAACGGATTTTAAGTTTTGGCTATTATTTAAACTACTTTCAAACGCTCGGAGACGTCTTTACAAATACGCTCATTACTCCGAAACTATTTACCGGATTACTTTGAAATCCAGACAATATTACAGACAATATTCTCGAATATATATATATATATTTAAAATATGCAAAAAAAAATTTCGATTTTTTCACAATTACAAGTAAATATAACCCCTTAAAACATAAAATAATAATGAAATTTTAATATTAGTTGATTTAGAATTACAAGGGTTAGATTTTTAAACCAAGTCATCAATTTTTACCCAATTATTGTTGATCGATCTTGTATAAGCTACATAATGACCGACTTTATTCAAATATACTGGTGGGACAAACTCTACTACACCAAATAATAAGTAATTTTTGTCAAAAGTATCTTTAATTTTGTTGGAATATTACTTAAGTTCTCGGTTAAACGTTGATTATTATGAAGTTTTGAGAGAAGTCGAAGGTATATAAAAATGACTTATGTCTAAGCTTAAAAATACATTAGTAAAAGTAGATTTTTGGACAGAGTTTTGTGAACACGACCTGCAGTAAAGGGATGATTCTACTTTTAATGCATCTGAAACACTGTCCTGTAATTCAATAATCCAATAATTTCAGCATCATAAAAATAATTATTATTTCATAATTAAACATTGAGCCTAAATAGAATAACCATAAAAAGTTTGTTTACATGGACATATACGCATGTAACTTAATACATCATACATCACTATAGCTTGTCCTCATAAGAACGACAATCAAATTGTCGCGACGATGACGTCACAATTGTCATTCGCAGGTTTAAAGGTGCAATATAATTATTTATAGTATTAATTAATTAAAAACGATTTTACCCACAAAATAACTATCATTCCTAATAGAGAAAAGGATGAGCAATTTTTTGGCACTTATTACAATTAACATTAGTCCTTACAATTAGAGATAATCAGGAATTAAATTTTGATTTTTTAATTACGATTAATTAATTAATTATTAATTATAGCAGCGGAGCAATTGTTTATATCGAAAGAGCAATTCATGAGCAATTTTTTGGCATTTAGTTTTTGAAAAAAAATTAATATTCGGCGCCAAATTGGTTACGGTCCCCAATTTGAATACAACACGGAGAAAATTAAATGATAGCAGTCACTATCTATTTATGGTAAAACTTTTTACCATCAACCCGATGGTAGTGACAACTACCTGTATGGTTGTATAAATCATATTTATGGTAACTGTAACAATCATGTATGTTACTTACACAGAAAAAAAAATAGATTGAATAAAAGTTTGAGTTAAGGTAGATATCAGAGAATAACCTATAGAGCCAAAGAAGTAGTAGGAGATTCCAGCAGCCAATCCAGTAGGAAGCTCTTGTAGTGTCTGTCGAGAATCAACCGATCAGGAAGTTTACTTTACTTACCGATTACTTTATCTCTTTCTTCTCAACAATGACCTACAATGATGTATGTCAGTAAATTATCGCAAATCGGAAGTTAGTAAAACTGACTAACCAAACCACTGAAAAGTCCTGTAGATGGTGGAAACATCAAAAGTTATCCTTGAAACCTTTCAAAGTTTACTATTAAGTCCAAGAAAAAAAATTCCGAAAGTTTTTACTTCAAAGTACTTCAAAAAAATTCTTTGTATTTCAAACATTAAAAATTATTTTTACATTAAACTTGATAATAATAGAATTACAGATTAGATTCATGAAGAAAACTAGTCTCAAACTTCACTTCTTGGCACCGTAACTATCATAACTATTGTTTCTTCCATTTCCACATCCTGTAAAGATTCATAAATAATGTAATTTTCATCGTAGATAAAACAAAGTAAAATGAAATAAAATAAACTAAATTACCTTCAGGACCAAAAAGAAATTGGTAACACGGTTTTTGGCAGTAGGGTTTTCCTCCATGCTCATTATGTTGTCCGACTACCAGGGTCTTGTTGCAATGTTCACACCGGAGGCATGGTCCGTGCCAGTCTTTTCCCATGGAAGTTTTCCGCTCCGCTGTAATTTATTTTAATAAATAAGTATCATATATTAATATTAATTAACACATTCCACATTACAGATTATATATTATGCATTCGATACTTTCAATCCTCCAATTGGATAATTAAAGATATAGACCTTTACTCGGTGTCATGAGGATACGACGGTAACAATGCTGCCAGATAAATGTAAATGTAGATCCATTAGCAATTTCGTAATTATTTATTTGAATGGTAATACCCATGAGTATCTAGGGTATACTTGCAATTATTTGACGCGTGAGAAAATAATAGATACCCATGGGTTCTTAATCTTTATTTCCACATATATTCATATATGTAGGTATTGTCATAGCGCGTTCATTTTCCGCATCTCTGTGACTGGGACATAGAAAAATATTTATTGTTTGGTTGATATTCATCAGTACTTGGAGTTAAGTAATGTTAAGGATTGTAATTAGCGTTAGAGTAAAATTTTTGTGCGTTGAAAAAAATATTTGATTTAAAAGAAATATTCGTGATACAAGAACAAATAAAATTATTTTCAAGAAAATTGGTTCTTTTCATTCAAGAATTTCTCGTCTTGAAACTCGTTTTTTTTTTATTTTATTGTATTTTAGCCAAGATAAATTCAAAATCTGATGATCAAAAGAATATTATCTTCGTGAAATACTATAAAATTTGACAGTAAGAAGCACTATTCTCTAAAACTAATAATAGTTTCCTTATCCTTTAGGGAGAATTTTAGGGACGGGGCGACTTGAAGGAATTTTTAATCTCGAGGACCCAAATATAGTAAATCTCCTTTTTTGTTTTTAAATTGTATCCAAAGTAAATAGAACAAATTTTTAGTTTCCATTAAAAAAATTCTTTCATTTTTTACGGTTAAAAGTATCTTCTGAAAAAGTTAAAATAATTTTTTCCGTGAAATTAGAATAAGCGAAAAAATAAAATTCTTATCGACAATTGAGCTGAAAAATCTGATTTTTATCCTAATGGTGAGTCCATATGGTTTGAGAAAATTTTTTTTTTCATATGGAATAATTTTTTTGATCTTTCTACTCTCGAATTGCTGAAAAAAGTTTGAATATGTTTTGCAAACTGTTTCCAAATTTAAAAAAGATTAAAAATAAAATTAATGAAATGCCTATAATAGGACGCCTATTGAAAATGTTAAAAGAAAGTTTTAATTTTTTAACTTCTATCAAATTTCAAATGAATTTTTAATAATTATCTACTATTTGAGAAATAATAACTGATATTTATTTTAATAAATATAAACGATCTTTTTTATACAAAAAGAAAACATTCTCCATCGCAGAATCAATCCCCTTGATTAGAAATATCACTCTGTTCCAAAACAACTTCAGTATTTCCCTAAACTTTTTCTGGTTTAAGTAAATTTTTTCTCAGTATAATGCACTTATTTTGAAAAGCTAAGACTGATAAAAGTGAATCAAACAAAGAAAATATGGAACTTCACTAAAATATGATCTTTCTTTTCAGAAAATATTTATAATGATAAAAATTATTTAAAGCAATGCAAAAACTTAGAATAATTATAAGAATTACTATACATCTAAAGCTACTTTAGTCTTAAAAAAAATTTTCTGAAATCAAATTAACCTTATTTTCCGAGTGTACTTATTTTTTATCGGATATAAAAACTAGCGAAATGGAGTTCAGTATGAATGTACCGAACCGTTCTACACTAATAGAAAATTCAGCTTGATACAAGAAAATATTCTCAAACCAAGATAGTTTTTGAAGAAGCTAATTATCTTCAGTCAAGCAAAAACTGATTTTTGAACCAAAAAAACTTCTTGGTTCAATATTTTTTTTTTTTTTATTAAATACCTTCTTTTTTTTTCTTGATAAAATACCAAACAAAATTAAAAAAAAAAATATTTTACTTGAACCCATTCTGGAAGATATTTTATTGAATTAATGGATCTTAATCCTCTAAAAAGAATAAATAATTTGTAGGAAGCGGCTATACGGAAGAAGTATTTATCAAAACATCAAAATTGTGAGTAAACCATTGAAGATACTAGAAAATTAAAAAGAACATTTTCTTGTAGAAAATTAAATTCCCTACAAATGAGGTCTCATCATTTTTTTTTTATTTTAAATATTTCACTCGTAATTTCGATTTTAATCTATGGATCATGATGTAATATAGTCTGTATAAATTGACTATACGAAAAAACTATTTTGAAGAATTTCATCTTGGTTCAAGTAAATTTTACTTAATTCGAGAATTTTTCGTTCTGATTCAAGACAATGAAATTCTTTAAAATTATTTTCTTGAATCAAGAATTTTTCTCTTGAATCAAGTTAATTTTTTTTTCAGTGTAGAGACTTGAATTTTTCACAAAAAATTTTTCTTATAACTTTTCCATATTTTCTATATTTTATTCTTAGGTGAAGTATATTATATATAGGCTGTTTTATTTGAAAATAGTAAATTTTTTGGTTGAATTTGTAAGTTCTCGAACGGGAAATTTTTTATCCTTCTAATTTTATTTTCTTGATTCTTGAGTTCATTTCTTGAACCAGAGAACTAAATATCTTGAAACAAGAATTCTGTTTGGAGAGAATATTTCTTTTAAATCAATTTTTTTTTCTTTTTTAAAGAGGAAAGTCTTAAACTCATGCTTAAATTTTGATTAAGGAGGTCCTTTCGCCATCAATGTTAAAAAAAATTAGATTACGCATAAAATTAATTTTTATCTAATAGTTGAAGTTCTTATTTATATCTACTAGTGAAGTCTAATTTATTTTTTACCGTGCAAATTTTTGAAAAATAAATTTTTAAAAATGTTAGTATTTTTTCCGAGTCTTACGAGAAAGTCAGACCTTAACAACTTTCTCGAATTATGGTATTAACTAACGATTAGATGGGATAAAAAAAAACTCAAAGTAAGGTTTTCGAAATATTCGTCTCATTTTTTGCAATAAAATATATAGGTTGCTGTGGAATATATGGAGAAATTAAAATTATAAAATCATAAAAAATTCTCAAGCAATCTACATTAAAATGAAGTCAAAACATTTGGCAACGTTGCGTAGCGCGCAAGCTTCAGACCATTCAATAAATTTAAACTAATTTATTTTTCTGCCCTCCGGCCGGAAAGTGGCAACTTTCTGGCCGCTGCGCTAAACAAAGTTGCCACATTCCGGCTACGTCGAGCAGAAAAATAGTATACACACCTTGGCCAGTAAAAAGTAAAGCCTCAGATCAAATGTTTGTCCACCTCGGCTTCGCCTCGGCCGACAATTACATGTGATCTGAGACTTTTCTTATTTTACTGGCCTAGGTATGTAATATACTATATTTACACTGACTGCAAAAACTTAAACGTGGTTAAGGTTATATTGTGCAAATGAAAATGTAAACAACCGAAGTACAGCGTTGCCAAATCACGGACAGATTACTAGCAGCTGATTTGAAAGAGTCAAATTAATTTTTGTAATTAACTATTTTTTTTTTATTTTCAAAATTTCAACGATTAATGCCTCATATACTATTCATTTTTTAATTTTAGGATTTTTTATGGGTTTTTTTTATTTTAATTTATCGTATATTGACTACTACAGTTGTTTTGACTCAACTGGAGCGAAAGGACTTCCTTAATTTAATTGATTATTTGAATTAATTCGAACAAAATATCTCGAGCAAAGCAAGAGTGAAATTAAAAAAAAAATATTTTTCTTGAAAAGTAGTTTGTACATATGTAGGATAGTAGAGCTGTATAATACCAAAGTTTGTAATAAATTTGGTAGGTGATACACCAGTGGAGAAAAAAGCATAATAGCGAAAAATGCAGAGACGCGGTGCTCATACAGCCACAGAACACACAACAATAAAGTATCCGGCCGCGAGGACAACAACAAAGAACTTGACGGCCCGGCCTTTGGTTGTTCCAGGCAATAATGAGAAAAAGAGAGATGGAACTTGTTTCGGTGAAGAATGGCCAGCAGGAGTCTCTTGTCACATATAAACACCCACACACACACACTCACAAATCCTTACAAGTATGCATAGTATGGAAGTTTCTGCAGTCGTAGGAATCGTAAGAGTCGAAAGACGTGCGCTCTAAAATAACCGAGGAAGATTACCTATGCGCAGTATTATATAGCCCGAGCTGGAGAACCAAAAGAGTCGAGTCTGAATTGGAATCAGAGTAGAAAAAAAAAGTTAAAGCCACTGTAAAGGGGTAGAAATGTAAAAAGTTGCCGGCATGTAAAAAAAAAAACATTTTAAAAACTGTATGAGTCGGTGAGAGACGAGTGTAGGGTGGAAGAGCAGGGGGTGGTATGTATATGCAACGCATAGCCACCGATTGTTTAACGCCGGGCGCAACGATGCGTGCTGAGCGCAGTCTGTCGGCTCTCTGATGCAAGGAAATGCCGACGATCTGTACTGTCTATGTATCTTTGTACACATTCTCTTCTTACACTTCATGTTCTGTTTTGTTTTTTTTTTTTCTTATTCTTTTTTGTTTTTTTCCGAGCTTCATGCTACTGTTCGGCTTCATAATTAGGAGTTAATTAACTAATGGTTCTGTTTTGTTAACTCTGAAATTTACTAAATGATTTCTAGATTTTTATAATTTACGCGCAATAATTGTTAATTGGTTATTCAAATTTTTAGTTGCTTGTTTTGTTGAAATTTAACTATGATTAAAAATTTTACAAAAATAATCTAGGTCATTACTTTTTTGCCCATTTGTATACGTTTGTCATAAAACTTATTGGATATTTTAGAAAAAATTTTTTTGGTAGTTTAAAAAGTTTTGTTTTTGTTTCAGGTTTTTCGCTGAACGTCTAAAAAGTTAATTTTTCGGAAGATTTTTTTTTTTTAAACTATAACAGTGATTGTTTTTAAATTTTTAGTTCATATTTATACGTATTTCATATAAATGTAAAAATTTTTTCAAATAAAAATCTTCAATGTTCTTAAAGGTGTTGGGTATTCCCTTCCCAGGACCAAAAAAAAATTACTCTAGATTAATTAAAAAAAAAAAAAAAAAATGTGTTTTAAATTAGAAGATATTAAAGATATTTCTTAAATGATAGCCCAAAAAAGTTAAGAAAGTAAAAATTTGAAAAAAATTGCAGACTTTTGAAAAATAATTCTAAAACTTTAGCTAAAAACTGAGATGATTTTTTACCACGTTAAAATTGAAATTTTTATTCAACAAAAAAACTGGAGTGTTATTGTAAAGAGATTTGAGTACTG